CCCCCCAAATTGGGTAGTCACCCTGTTCACCCCCCCTATGGACACCCACCCCCATGGACACTGACCTCACTGAGCACCCACCTCACCGACACCCAGCCCCACCACGCACACACCTCACCCGGCGCTCTCACTGCCAACCACCCACTCCCACCTCATCGGTCGGCATCCTCACCGGTGGGCACCCACCTTGCCAGAGGGTACCCACGCCACCGAGCACCCTCACCCACCCACCTGGGCCTTTTAATTTTGGGCCTGGGATTTCCTTGCTCCCTTCCGCAAGGAAACCGGTGTGCCGACGCTCCGTGGCTGAGCCCAGCCGTCGCCTTTCCGCACGGGACAAACAGCTCCAGATCTCGTATTTAAAAAGCTAACACCGTGGAATAAAGTAGGAGGCAAGATTGTTTATTACCGCAAGCAATTTTAATACAAAAATGTGTCTGGTTTTTAAACAATTCATTGGTAGAGCTTCAGTTTTGCCTCAATTTAAACCAATTGAGAGAATCACACAGCAACACGGTCAGAGCCGGAGAGAAACAATATTTAATAAATACAGGAGCTCTGGCGAGCCCTCTCCCCCAGCCCGTCTCCTGGTCACTTGGTCAGTTTGATTTTATTACAAAGAAAAAGTAGCGTACAAAAGCGAGACAGGACTTGTAGCAAGTGTGCTGGTGAGACTCATTTCAAGGACAAGCGACTGTGCGTGTAAGTCCAGATTTCTTCTAGGAGCAGAGGCCGCATCAATCTCAGCCTGGCTGGAAGTGGAATGACCAGTTAAATAATAAATAGGAAAAAAAAAAAAAAAAAAAAAAAAAAAAAAAAGAGAGATGCAGATACATAGCGATTCTGTAAGGAACGTCTTGGGTCGGGCTCTTTAGGCCATCAATCCCGAAGAATCCTCTCATCTGTAGGACCCACCACCGCTAAGGGATGTATCTGAATGATCCAGACCTGCAATCTTCCCAGCGTGCTCTCCTCCGGCCAGCTTCCGCGTGAACCCCCTCCCCAGCCCCCTCCCCAGGTGTTTGTTCTTTAAAACCCAAGTTGTCGGGACCGTATTGTCAGGACAGCAATTGCCATGGCCTTTGCCGTAGTGTGTGCAAATTTTATTAAGTTAAACTCCGCTTTCTTCAGGTAAAACCACATAGCTTTAAAAAAATGGAAACAGAAGCCCCAAGTCCCCTCACCTCACGTTTCTCTGGTTGAGGTATCTGTGAGTTACAAAAAGAGAGTTCCTTGAACACTGCAGGATTCAGGTCTTTGTTTTTAAATATAATTTACCTTGCTGAGACAGCAAGTTAAGTTTATAAAGATGCATTTAGGAAACAATCCTAAAAGATAAAGCAGGTTCGCACCCTGCACCGCGCAGAAATCCTATTTATATTTTAGTTTTTCTTTACACTTTCACATCTTGACCTTTTTTTGCTTTCCTTTTTTTTTTTCCTTTTTCTTTTTTTTTTTTCTTTTTTCTTTCTCTCCCACAATTTCAGTTTTCCAGGCCCCTCTCTAAACAGGGGTCACCGAGAGGCGATTTTTATCTACATAAATATTCACATGAAAATAGTAACTTACAAAAAAGGAAAAACAAAAAAAAAAAAAACCAAAACCCAAATAAGGCAGCTTCATAACACAACTTTCTTTTACACTTTTAACAATATAGTTTCTCCCATTTAGAATAAATATACATCCAATGTACGGAGCAGGGTTAAAAACTGGACACAGGTTGGGTTTTCTTTCTTTCAGGAGGGCGTGGGTACAGTATTATCTTTTAGGGCCTGGAGTTTTTGGGGTGGCAGTGGTTGTTTTCTTGGACATGGTTGGGATTTTGGAGGGCTTGGCCATCCCCCGGCGCGAGCCGCCCTGCCC